CCAAGTATTTTCAGTGGTTTTCCTTTCAGGTTTGTTGCCAGGTACACTGCTTTCTGCTCTTCTGTCCATCCATTCATTTCTGCCAGGAGCTCAAATTGTGCTCTATATGATTTCCATGGTGCCTTCCAATCGAATTCCTGTGGCTTCCTTTGTAATAAACCATCCCTATTGCTGACACTCGTTTCTGGAATGTGACTTCTGACAGGACCGAAGATTTGTGCATTAGGGTTTAGCTTCGGGGTCTGGAAAGGGGTTCCTGTTGTCTGAGGCTGATTAGGTCGATGGCTAATATATCATCCTTGTGTAAAAGACATCAAATCATCCTTTAATGTATTTAATTCACTTTGAAATTTACTAATGTTTTCCATTTGTACTTTTTACCACCGTTGTTGACTTTCCTGTAGTTGCTGCTGACTTTCCTGCAACTTTTGGAGACTTTCTTCTTATTTCCTTTTTTGTTCTAGTTGTCATTGCTGTAATCTCTTATCTTGTTAATTTTGCTGTTCTAGCTGCCACTGTTGCAGGTTTTCTTGCCACTGCTGTTGTCTCTCCTCTTGTTTCTTTTCTCGTTCTTCTTGTTTCTTTGATTTTTCCTCCAACAACTGCTGTAATTTCTCTTCTTGTATCTTTTCTCGTTCTTCTTATTTCTTTTCTTGTTTATTTTCTCGTTTTCTTGTTTCTTTTCTTTTTCTTCCAACAACTGCTGTACTCTCTTCTTGTTTCTTTTCTTTTTCCCCCAACAACTGCTGTAATCTCTCTTATTGTTTCTTTTCTTTTTTCCTCCACCAACTGCTGTAATCTCTCTTCTTGTTTCTGTTCTTGTTTATTTACTTATTCTTCTTGTTTCTTTTTCTATTCTTGTATTGCTGCCACCAAATCTGCTAAGCTGTAGTTTGATTTGCCACTTCTCGTTTCCATTTTTTTATTTTCCGTCCCACTCTCTGCTCTGCTGTTATATAGGCCATCAACAGTGAAGGAAGTAAGACATCCCAGTCATCTTGGCGGCTATTACAAAACTTTGCCAATTCATGCCCCAGTGTCCAGTTGTACTTTTCTACTTTCCCATTAGACTATGGATAAAGTGGCATTGTTCTGGTCTTTCGTATAGCAAACGACTTGCAGCATTCTTGGAACACAGATGATTCAAATTTACGGCCTTGATCTGAATGCAGTTCATATGGCATACCAAATCTGGAGAAGAAATCACTAATAGCCGAAGCTACAGTTCTAGCTTTCTAATTTGGTATTGTACATGCCTCAGGCCACTTGGTGAAATAATCCATCACCACACAAGTGTACTTTTTCCAGCACGAGTTTGGGGCAGAGGAGCAGCAATGTCAATGGCTACTCTTTCCATTGGTGCGCCAACTTGATATAACTTCATTGAAGCACGTCCATTATGCTTGGGTCACCTTTTACCACAACATGTACTGCATGTCCTGCACCATTCGTCTACATCATGCCTCATACGTATCTAGTAAAATCTCTTCCGTAGGTGACTCAATGTCTTCTTAACTCCGAGATGTCCTCTTGTTAAACTATCATGGGATTGACGCAGCACAACATCCCTTAATTTTCTCAGTATAACTGTTTGCCAGGTCGTCACTTTCCCATCTCCAGAGACGAATACCATCTTCAAGCTTCAACTGGTCCCATTGTG